GGCCGGGCTGGGGGGGGACTGTGAGGGGGGCTGGAGAGAGCCGTCAGGGCGGAGGCGGCCGTGGCACCTGCCTGGCCGCGGGCACGCCCGCTGTGGGACGTTCTGCGACACCGAATTACTGCCTCGAACTTGCCGAGCGTTTGGCAAGGCGATCGCTGGTTAGCTCACGGCCTCCCCGCTTTTGATCGGCTATACCCGGACTTCTGCATGTTTATTCCTTAAAGTTCTGCAAAGCGTTGTACTTCAACATATGTTTATCACAATTTTGTCAAATATTCTGTGAAAGATGGATTTAACTGGTTTTCCGTGTTTTTTTCTAATTTATTTGGTACGCTTCTACTACCTCCTAAATTTCCGCATTTAGCATGCTGTTTCCGTGGATTACTGGCAAGTCCACACAGGGGTTTCGGCTAGGGAGCAGAGGGAGAAAGAGAGTTACAAACAGCAGGTGCATTTGTGCCAAAACCGATTTACACACTGAATGTGATTTTTCTCACTTCAGAGAATTATGATGGGAAGACGATCATAAAAGCAATGCAACCCAGCAGTTAAGAGGTGAAGCACGGTTAACTCTGGGTGAAATCTCGTCCGTAGTAACGTGAAGTAAAGCCAATAAATAAATTTTTAGTATTTACTTTTTGCAACAATTTCTTTAGTGTGACTGTGTGTCATAGACACTTCAAAAGCTGTTTGCAATTTCAGCAAATGTATCAAGCTTCTAAGAGAAGTTGTAGGAAGCTCAAGAAGACATGGATAAAGCAAATCGTTAGCTAAAATAATCAGATGTTACCACACCCTCACCAAAGTGGAATTTTTTAAAGACAGGACTATTTAATAATTCAGATTTTTATTTCTACCTAGTCTCTTGAAATCAGCCTGCTTGTAAGTTCTCTTGAGCCCTCGATGTATACGGCTTATGTCCTCAGCTTGCACTTCATTAATCATAACATCATTTCATAATTAAAAGAACCGTGTATATTTTAAGAAATAGAAGGATAGCTTATCTAAACTGCCAGATTCTGTTGGAAACCTAAAGGAAAATAAAAGCCCGCTCAGAACTAACTAATCCACGCTTGATTTGACCATGCATGGCTTTCCTAGAGATTTAAATGGTGACTAATCTTTGATTTGTTAATCTGCAATACTTATACCCAAATAAAATATGAAAATTTCAAAGACATTAATATGAATATGGTCTGACTCAGTGAATCAGTAACAAGTGTCATATTAAAGAAACAGAATCTCATGAGATGTAAAAATAATTAAACACTTGCAAGAGACTCATCTGTTTTTCCACTACGCACTGGAGATTTACATGCAAAGCTCCCACTGAAGTGACTTGCACTTAATTTTGAACAGTTACAAGAATACGTAAAATCAGACTGTGGGAAAAAATATTCTCCAGATGTTAATATGTAGGGCTTAATTTATATCTGCAGAGTTTTATGTCTGTTTATTAATATTTGGCTTTTATGAAAGAGTTACAAGGGAGGACTGCAGAGAACTCCGACTTTCGATACTATCCTATTCAGCTAGGACAGGTTCAGCCACATTATATATGGTTGCAAGCACAAATGTTCACTTCTAATGCAACAACAACAACAAAATTATTTTCTAAATGCTACTGCTAATCTAGATGCAATTAATTTGAGAAGCAGTTCAGATTATATTTGCTGGCTGAAATAATTACATGAATCTGTTTAATGCTTGAAACCAGAAATATTCCATGTGGCTTTGGAATTAATTTAAAGTGGTTTACCTGGTTTTTGTTACATGTGAATATTTACACAGTATTTTGTAGGTTTATGGCTGGTTTTTGTTACATGTGAATATTTACACGGTATTTTGTAGGTTTATGGATGGTTTCTCTTTGCATGGAAATTTTGTGTCCCCTTTGCACTGAGATAAATAGCACTACTGCAATACTGGTTTGAGGGTAACGTGCTCCTGATCAAATAAAACAAATAAAATTAAAATGAAGGCACGCTGGCAAATTTAGTCTGCTAAAGCAAGCAGTGTACTAAGCTAAGGGATATGAGGAAGTGTTTCTAAAACAATTTGGACCATAAAACATTACAAAACTAATCTGAGGGCATTCAGGAATGGCTGTGGAATCTTAAGAGACATCTTAAGAGACAACACATTTTTCCATCCATCTAATCCATAAGTTCAGGTAATGTCTTAAAAAAAAATCTTGTGTTGGGAATCCCAAGAAACACACGGATACGTAGCTCATGAGAAACTTATTCGCAGTTAGGAGCTGGCTAGTTTAGGAACAGGTATAGGAAAAGTTTAATCATGGGTATAAAAGCAAGGTGCCAGAATCAAATATCTTTTCTGGCAAAAATATCATCCAAAAGCCCCCTAGTATCTCACCTTGTTTAGCTGGTGCTAAAATACCGTGGTATGGCTCTAAATAGCAAACATTTTATGCAGTTCTGTATCTAACTCATGTGGCACTCA